GATGGACTAGTCCTTTGGTCACCCACCACGACGGTCGGAAGATTGTATCAGGAGTCGGGAAGGCTGCGCTAGGGGAAAACCCTGGGTTCGAAACCGTGAGGGGCGGGCTTGTTGAGATAGGCACGGTTGGTCACCGATTTCTGGCCGAATCAAAGTGATTCCAATGAATTGTATCACCCTCTTCATCACTGAAGGGTTTCTAGTGCTAAACTTAAATATCCAGATAGTGACTTTCAACCATATGCTGCAAGATTACTAGAGACACTGTGATGAGGGTTACATAGGCTGAGTATTGCATACTTGCCACTGCTCTAGTTCTTACCTAAGAACCATAAATGTGGCCGTCTTGCATTAATAGCATCATCGTTGAATAGCTTGCTTATGAATTTCGTGGACGCTACTTGTACAATAATATCCGTAAAAACTGATCCAAAGTATCATATGATGAATTGACGATCACAATTCTGAAAAACGCATTTACGTCCATGTCAATTGAATATCATTTGCAATCTTTGCCGCTGCCTCTGTCTTCAGCATCTCGTAGTCTTGCCGAGAAAATCATAGTTCTAGACGCTCATCAGGATTCATACGTAAAGCGTGCCAAGTGCTGCTCCACCGCTCTTGAACAATGTATGATCCATAACAAAATATTTCATCCTTTTTTTCGTATGACTGAGGGGGAGGGGAAGGGGGGAGAGGGTGGGGACTATCAACGTTATAATTCAGTGTCCAGATTTCGAAGCAAATGAATGATTTCTGCCGTAGTATTCTAGACATCCGCAATGCTGCCATCGAACCCTTCGCAACGGGCAGTTGGAAACAATACGCTGCATGGTCTGATCTTCTTGCCGCCCTTACAGTAACGGCTGGATTTCAACTTCCAACAGTGGAGAAGATGCTGGCAATGCCGTTGTCCTGTACAAATCTGGCTTAACCTTGTTCTTTCTTAACGAATCAAGTATTTGTCAGAGTGCCATGGAGTCGGATAAAGATAAAGTTGGTGTATCATCTCTCTCAGCTCGCCACTGTTCTTCGAGACTCAGTT